CCCCTAACTCGAAAGCTGGATCCGCCCCTAAAGAGCACATGCTATTTCAAAAACTTACTAAAATAAGAATGAAACCTTTCAACAAAGGAAAAGTTATACAAAAAGAGTAACTTAAATAAAGTAAACCTACTACAACCAGAAAAATAACAAGAAAGTTTGTAATAATTAGTCAAAAAGTAACCATTATTATCTGAACACAGGTACACTCTTTTAACCGTTGAAATTACAACTTTTGATACTAGATCTGGAGTTACGGAATTAAATGCATCGGTCACTATCATCAAAAGTTGGTCTTCAGTGTCAAAATGCTGAACGTAAACTTGAATTTATTGTAACCCCAAATGAAGAAGTCGAGTAGGGTCAAGTCGGGTGATCATACTTTCCAGGAAATGTCACCATAAGTTCCGATTGATCTTCTGGAAACTGTTGAGACCTCGAGCTTGTCTAGCATTGCACGGAAAAGCTCCGTCTTGTTGAAACTCACAATTTTGTTGTGTGGCTGTATTTGCAGAATATCTAAACTTTCTTTTAATTGATTTTCCAATACTTAAAGATAGAGTTCTGCGGTTAAAGTGTGGTAGTAACTAAAAGTTCCAATATTCAAATTTTTCCTCGTTTTTTAAATTGTTTTCCGGTGTAATAGAAAATTTTAGAGAAATTCTGATACTGATGTGTATTTAATAGTTATTGACCGTTGGCAGAACTGGCAAGTGCAATTTTGTGATAGTTTACTAATAGAAACGGGTTCTATAATTTATAAAGAACTGAATTTGTGACGGAAGAACCGAATTATTATTATGGTTTTAAAGAAACGAAACGTTGTAATAATTATAGTTTATGGGTTTTTATTATTATTTAATAAATTTTATTTATCTTCACTTTATCCATCCATCCGATTGAGATTCGAATCCACGAGTTCACGTTAACATATAAATCGCATGTTGTTAAAGCCTTAATTCACCAATGTGAAGAATCGGCTCCGGACCTCAATTTTTTTAAAATGCGGTCAGTGGGTAACTAGACTAAGATATCGGCTCAAAAAAAGATAAAACCCATATGCGTCGTTATTGAGTTTTTTGTTATCTCCCACTTTTGGGATTGTGATGACTTGTCGCTTATTATCAACTCAGTTGCTCGTATGTTCGGAGTGTTTTTGTCTCTCCTTTAAAGGAGTTAAGACGAGTTATCCAACACAACAGATAGATTTAATATTCCATCAATGATTTTTCAACCCAAATTAATCTTATCATTTGGCCAATCGTGCCTGTCGAGTTCATCCCAGAAACATCCTCACTTGAATTAGTACTGCTCTGTATTATCCACCTTACTAGACTGCTGTCCTAATACGAGTAATGCATCTCTGATGTGAGTGTGTCGCCTTCTGTTCAGTAGAGAATTTGCTATAAAAGTGCTCAGAATTCTGCTGCATATATTTTCAACGAATGTGAATAGTTATAGAAAATTCGGATTATTTTCAAGATCCGTGTAAGCGAAAAATCCTAGAAAACTTAGTTGGGTGTCTGGTCAACGGATCTAACTTGATATTGACAAAAATATGTGTCATGAAAAGTCGGATAAGAAATACCTATTCATTTCCTCGCTAAATAAAATCGCTAGTGAGGTGATCCACCCGGTAAACGCATCGCTAGCATTGTCGATCAATGTCAACCAAATCATTAACATTATGTTTAATTCTTCAGTTTCTCTTAACTTGTATTATAAATTTATCTGACTTCCATAGAACAACAGTTTGGACTCTTCCTTTACGGCTATATAAGACAGTTTAACTTATTGGGTGTTTTTTGTAGGCTGATTTTAGGATTGTAACGTCTAGACCCGTTTTTATCTTCTTGACAATTTACCTTTATTATAGCAAGTGATACAGTAAGATTATTCTCATCAAATTCGTTAATCGTGTCTGTTCGAATCTGTATTTTTGAACGATTGCCTGAAAACTTCAAATGCAACTGTTACATGCAAAATTTACGTAGGTACACACATTAATTGTTTTAAATAAGAATGCAAGGAAAACTAAACTGCAACATTCCCGCTCTTATATAATCAATTTTATTATTAGAAAAGTGATTAGTTTTAAATCAAACATATTTAAAACATTTATGGGATGTTAGCCAAGTAGTCCTTAACGTGCGAAGGCTCCAATCTTCTGAAGCCCGAAGGGTCACAAATTCCTACTTCAATGTTATCAGCAGACATCTGGCCTTCAAAACTCTCCTTAAGTGTTAAAATGGCGGTATGGACCGCATCATCTAGTTCAAGGTCCTCACCATACCTGTTCAAAAAGCATAGAATAGTCAATAGATTTCGGAATAATTAACCACGTATTTTCCAGTGTTACAAATATAACATAAATAATACAAGAAGTTCGTTCAATTTCAAAGAAAACAAATTCAGAAAAAAGTTCAGATTTTACATAGTAGAATATATAAGATTCTTAACAATTATATGTTCGGCAGACGTCCAAAACTCCAATTGAAGAATGATGATGATTACTTTGAAACTGAAATAATTTCGTTTCGGTTTTTGCGCCCCAATAGGAAAATAAAATTGAAAGTAGCAGGTGTGGGACAATGATGAAAACGTCACAATTGAACTATTAAGACCCCAATAAAGCGCCAAACGTTACGGAGTTACAGCGCGTGTAAATTTTTAACGATGCGTACCTGCACGCTACTGAACTTGTTAAACAAAAAATGGTACGCCACTGTTCCTTTTTATTATTACAATTATTGTTCAGCTTGTTATGTTCCAAATAAAAAAATCCTCTTACTATGACAAGCGGTTAAGATTATAAAGCAAGATTTGTAGTAGATAGACTAAATTGGGCACATTTAAATGGAAACCACCGTTTGCATTGGAGCAGATAAAAAACTGATACCAGTGTGTTGCTAAAATTATTTATTTTACATTTACTGGCCCGTGCGATCTTGTCGTCTCTGGCGCATCACATCTCAGTTACACATTAAATGTTTTAAATGCTAGACTATTTTACTATCAATCAAAATACAGAATTATAACAAGTGTTCAAAAATTAAACCTTTGCTCTCCACACACCTATCGACTCTTCTTGAGATGAGAATGCAATGAGAAGAAAAGTGCGAAATATTTTTTATTTCGAACACAACAAGAAATTTTAAAAATAATTGTATTCATTAAAAAATAGAGTGGCGTCTTCTTTAACAAATTCGGTTCTGGCAAAAATTAACAAAACTATTTTATTGCAGAACATGAGTATTTCTTAGATATTGATTTCTGGAAAACTTCGTTAAAACATGTAAGTATCTCCATGCGCTTTAAATAAATTTATAATTTTTCGTTTTTTAAATTCATTTTCAACACCCTGTAAATGCGTAGCAAAGTATTTTTGGATTATCCTTTATATAGCAAACAAGGGTTAATTTCGTACCTTTGAACTCGTGTTTAAAATAATACCCTTTTCTCATGAAACACCTTTTATACCACAAACATATTACATTGTATATGTCATTGAAGTCTCGTATATTTATGACGTCAGATTTATGAAATTTGAAATTACTAGACACCCAAACGTAACTTTTCATTGTGGAGTAAAATTTTTAACAAACGCTAAGCTTTTCAATTTGAAGATTAATTCTTTTAGTCAAGCGTCATCGCCGATATTCAACCAGCTGCACATTTCCCATTTTTTATAGTGTATTTAAACTAAATAAACGGAATTGATTTCGCTTGTTTGGAATCCGAAGAACATTCTGTAGTTCAAAAATTTCCATAAATACACAGAATGTTCCTTAATGATATGAAAATATTCAAGATTGATTCCATTGAAGAATTAATGCTAGTGTTATTAGTGGAAGTTTAGTTAATAAACATATGGCTCAAATATGCCAGTAGAATAGTTTGAGTTTTCGACATTATGCGGCGTTTAATTTTTAAAGAGAAACTAACGACTATTTTGCTAACCGACTGAGATGATTCAGTGATAATTAGTATTTGATGATTAATGATTTAATGGATATAATATGTTAAAATTTAATGCCATAATTACTTACCTCTTTTCCAAGAATGTTTTACCATTGACATAATTTTTGCCCATGGCAGTAGCTTTCCAAGCAAAATAGGCTCCAGATGGATCGCATTGGAATAGATACGGCCGATCATTATCCCATCCGCAAATTAAAAGTGACACACCAAAAGGTCTAACACCTGAAATTAAACACACTCTCAAAGTAAACATACATATTTATTTTGTTTTTCTATCACATTTATGTTTGGCACGCGTGTGAATTAATGAACTTCTATAGCTGACATTAAAGTTCACCGTTATGCTACCAGAAGATCACTTAAATTAGTGTAACTGTATAGTCATTGTCTGCAAACACACTGAAATAACTAATACCTAAATAGGTAGGTATTGTGCTTGTTACCCACTAAGAGAGAAAAAGTAGTAAGTGGTAAACATTTTAATTAAAAAAACAAATCAGATTTATACACGTGTACCATAAAAACAAAATATGTATGTCATTAGTACCAGGAATTTCCTTCAAGCAACTGTGGATCGAATTTTTGTTAGAATTAAAAGTGGCTCATTTTATTTGTGTTTTTATTGTCAAGAATTTTTAGTGATAAGAAACTTTAATCGCGTTCCATAGATATATAACACAACTTTGCATATGTTCTTGCTGTTGTCACAAAACTGTATCCATTAGTAGCCGTAAGTACTTAGTAGTTTATTTGCGAAAACCTAAATGAACGTTGATAATTTAAAATTAATATAAAGATCTCCATTTTTTCAAAACAATGAATATTTTAGAAATCATAAGCTTTAAGCAAGATAAACCTTTAGGTGTATACTGCCTAAAAAAACTGCACAAATTAAGAAACAATTAAAGAGATTAATATTCTGTTTTGTTTTTAATTTGAAATCCCTTGAAAATTGGTGTATTTTGTCTAGAATTGGCAATTCGCAAGTCGAAAGAAAGTTTGAGTTTAAGGAAATCAGTTAAATATTTATAGACCTGAGGTTTTTTAAAAAACCATTTGATTTTTAAAGAGTACCATTTTATGGATAAATGGTACCCTACCAAGGGTACATTTTCACATTATTTTTAAACGTGGTGAATGAATGAAACGCGAATGAAATAAATATGAACCTTCTTCCGATATCCGATCGCGAATGCAAGTCTCAACAAAATATACAAATTTTCAAGAAATTTAAAATTTGAAAACAATACAGAAAATTAATCGTTTTCATCGTCTTTTTCTGCAAGTTTTTAGGTGGCATATCAATTACTTCAGATTCCCCTTAATAGTTAAAATTTATATACTGTTATTGCATTTAGTTTCAGTAATACGTATGTAAAAATATCAACTCAGCTCAAGATATTTAATTTATATTTTAATTGAACATACATACATATACGAAAATATAATAATGGCAGATAATTGAATCGTAAGGAGGTAACATAAGTTGTAACAAGTAAGATATTTTGATCATGATCTTTAAACAGATTTCATATTATGAATTTTTGTAGACACAAAGTGACCACTGGGAGCAAACACAATGCAAATTTCGATATTGACAATTTATGCCTTTCTTTAGACAATAATTTACAGTGTGTCAAATTTTTTGCAAAAGCTTAATTGGATTACTGTAAAGGGCATTATTGGTGCTGATAAGTACAGGCAAAAGCCAGGCTGAGGTCAAGCAAAATTCCAAATGATATAGAAATATTGTTTCAATTTCGTATATGAATCTATGGAACTACCTTCCAGAATTTGAAGAAAAATGAATTTAATTTGATCAGGTAAACCTTATCCAAATAGCGATACTTTAAATGAATAAAAAAATACCAGATTATCCGTTAGTTTCCGTGGCTTACCTCCCGATTGTGTATACTCCTGCATAATAGCAGCAACTTTTTGCACCAGTTGAACCGTAGGAATTGGCTCACGATAAACTAAATAGTACTGCTGGGCAATTTTCCTAGCCTGTTTTACCAACAATCTATAATCGGGCCCCATTCCGGAATAGATCATACCGATGTGGCGGGTGATGGTCTCCACTTTATGTACACTGTGCTCCTCATAGAGAATAGATTTGTGCTTGTTCTCGGTAGCAATAACCACTCCATTTGAAGCTAAAAGTAACTGGTTATTTTCGAGCTACATACAAATTTCTCCTACAGACCTTTTATTCCTACAGAAGGAGCGCCGGCACTAACTGCTGCAAGAGCGTATTCGATTTGGACCAGCTTTCCCGAAGGACTATCCAAATAAACATAACAGTTAAGAAACAATTATGTTAGCTTCACAAGTATTTCTTACCTGAAAGTGGTTAGCGAAAAGCTATATCTTTCTGATGCCATGATTACTTGCAAATAAACAAAAGTGTAAAGGTGCCAATCATGAAAATTGACAATTCTTCTGAATGAATTTCACTAATGACAACTGTCACTTCAGTTGACTTCTTTCAAAATGATATGATGATACAATGTTGCCACCGTTCCACGTACAACCTGTATTATTATCAAAGAGTATATTTTCATAACTAAGGCGATAGTACACGTTGATTGTATGTATGTTTTGACCGGGATAGCAATAATCGCCGAAGATACTCACATAAATGTAGATAGATCAGTTTAATCCGCTTCGTGCCAACGCAGCTTTCACGCGCTCACATGTGCTGAGCAGCCACACATACACACACAGCACACCTGCCATTAAAAAATTATTTGTAAAACATTTGATGCATAAAAAATTAAATTTGCTGAACTGTAACTCTAAAAATATTCAGATTTCGAATTCTTGTTTCTGACGTATTATCATTATTTTAGCATGTAGAATCATCATTACGTAATTATTAAATTTACGGTAACCATGGAATTATATAGAAAGTGACAATAAGAGAGATGGATAAACGGTAAACTCAACAGAATTCCTTAAATTGGGAACGTACTTTTTTGAAATGTAAATTATTGTCTTCATAACCTCGAAATAATATGTTTACAGTTTTGAAATAAACAAACATTTGAGTTTTTAACTCTAAACAAGATATTCCTATTTTCCTGGGTTTCAGTCAAAGTGTGAAGTAAAAATTTTGAAACATCGTTTATTTCATTACGTTTCGACGAGACAACAGCGCCATCATCAGATTTAAATTTTTTTGAGAGCCAAACTCAAGCTTTCAAGAACGCAAAGACCTAAAAGGACGTTAATTTTTACCAATCATGAGTTTGTGTAAAATTTTAAATCTGATGATGGGGCTGTTGTCTCGCCGAAACGTAATGAAATAAACAATGTTTCAAAATTTTTACTTCACACTTTGACTGAAACCCAGGAAAGAGGAATATCATAACAAGTACAAGCAGTCAGAAAAATAAATCAGAATAACTATAAACAAGTTAGTGCCTGTGTAACCACCTTGTTATGTACTCTTCTCGAGCAGCTTCTCGTATTCGTTTAATTAACTCCTGCTCAATTTGTACCGGTGTTCAGTAAGCCATTGGTTTAATGTCCTGCTGTGTGTATCTTACATGCGTGTTGGGAATGTAGACCTTCCTCGGTATTTGTTTGGTACCTGGTAAGGTAACCTGAAAGTGTCAGTTGTTATGCAATGCTCTGAGTGCCCCTGGAATACTCTGCTGCAATTATGTCTAATAGTTGTTCCTCTGGGTGTGTCTGGGTCCTGATCACAAACATTTGCATATTAACCGCAGGTAAATGTAACAAAACTGTAATTATGTTAAAAAGTGAATACAAAACGTAAATAAATGATATAAAAACATATAAACCGAAAAAAAAGATCTTACTACCAATATACAAACAAAACTAAATAAAATAATAAATTTATGGCATAAAAAGAAATTCATAACAGATAATTTGGAACGAACACTATCTTGCAACAATGGCCGAGCACCATTTATATATGGCCTACCAAAACTTCATAAGGAAAACATTCCATTACGACCGATAGTTAGTAACATAAATGCTCCAACGTACCAATTATCTAAATATCTGTCAGCAGTTTTGAGTAATGTATTGGGAAAGTCACAATATTACATTAAAGACTCATGGAGTTTTTGTGATTTTATAAAACAACAAAAAATACCAAAAAATCATCGGATAATATCACTGGATGTTGTATCATTATATACCAATATTCCAATAGATTACTCAATAAGTTTTATAAAAAATAAATGAGCAGAGATAAAAGAACATTCAAAATTACCCGAAAAAGAATTGATTGAGGCGGTAGAATTGTGTTTAAAATCCACATATTTCCAGTACAAAAACAAGTTCTATTCACAGATATATGGAGTAGTAATTGGTTCTCCCATAGCAGCAACAATTGCAAATTTGGTAATGGAGAATTTGGAAGAACAAATAATATTTAAATTAAACTATAAGTGTCAATTTTTTAAGCGATATGTGGATGACTGCATAATGTGCCTCCCAAAAGACAAAATTCAATATACACTAGATAAGTTTAATGCCTGTCATGACACCCTAAAGTTTACTATCGAAGAAGATAAAGGAAATTCTATAAACTTTCTAGACCTAACAATTAATTATGATAACAACGCGGAAATCAAAACAAATTGGTACAAAAGGAGGTATGGTCTGGTAGGTACCTGAATTATCAATCGTATGCTCCAATAAAATATAAAAGAAGTGTAATAACGGCACTTGAAAAATCTTGAAAATATAAAAAATATATTATTAGTAAACAACTATCCAAAGTCATTTTTTAAACCAATCATAAAGCAAAGGATAAATAAAAAATACAATTCAACTAAATGGAAAAACATAAGTAAAAGAAGAGAAGGTGATATCAAGTATATATCATTACCATATATTCCGGAAATTAACACAAAAATAAAAAATATATTCAAACCACATAATATCAACATAGCAGAAAAAACTAAAAACACCTTAGCAAATGAATGTTTCACAAAATTTAAACCTAGCATTAACAAGTTAGACACACCTAATGTAATTTACAAAATAGACTGTTTAAATTGTGATAACACATACATAGGTCAAACTGGACAATATCTAAAGAAAAGAATATACGAACATAAGTATAGCCTAAGAAAAAATAACGAAAATGGTACAGCATTAGCACAGCATGCACAACAGAAGTTGCATAATTTTGATTTTGATAACACAAAAATACTGATTAACGAGAGTAATTATAATAAGAGAAGAGTCCATGAAATGATACAGATTAAAAAACATAACAATGCTATGAAATTCAGATCGGATACCGACAATCTTAGCTCAGTATATCATACATTAATTAAATGAAATAAACATAGAATATTAACTAACACCCGGTATATTAAAGAATTTTGCAAACCAAAAATAATATTCAAACTGATGATGGTGGAAAACACCGAAACGTATTTTAATTGATAAATAGACAATAAATAACTGCAGCCCAGGAATTGATTTTGATTTAGAATTGAAACACAGTCAGGAAAGTATGTACAATTTCTAATTATTGACAAAGGCTATCTACCTCCCAGACAGCACTAATAAATCCATTGGACGTCCATAAGGCAACGGATTTTGGGCAGCCGTATGTCCAATGGATGTCCTTAATTTGTCCAATTGACGTCCAGTTTCTTATACAAATGTCCTACCTCCCCCGGATGTCCAACGATAAGGCATCTAACGGACACGGCATATATTGTATTTAAATATTAATTTTGGGTTTCCAAAACTTGCCCTTGACATCTATCAGAAGCATTAAACTTTGTTATTTCCGTTATGAATTGCAATTTTGAATAATAAAACAAAAAATCTATTCGGTTTATATTAAAAATATATAAATTATAAACATTAGTATACAGGGTGATTCAAAATTGGTGTCATTCCTCTGGAGGTGTTGTCTGGCGCTGTTATAGGAGTACAGAAAAAATAGTTAAAGAAATTAATTGTTATTAAAAACTGAGAAATTTGCAAAAAACTATATCAGAAATACGGCAGCAATGTTTTTCAAGGTAATCTGGCTAATTAACATTGCGCAAATACCTGTTGCTTCGTAATTATTTAAAACTCCGGTAACCATGGAATTATACAGACTGACATTAAGATAGACAAGGATAAACGGCAAATTCAACAAGATTTGTTGACGAAATGTCAACCTGTTCTCATAACCTCGAATTCTGCGGGGTTTTGTGTTTACATAAATTGTCCATACAACACCAAACATTTGAATGGTTAACTCCAAACAAACTAGTGCGTGTGTAATCTCCTTATTATCCACTTTTATCAAGCAGCTTCTCGTATTCAGTTAATTAACTCGTGCTCCATTTGTATCTCCTTGTGCTGTGTGTATCGTACAAACGCCTTTCCTTGGTATTTGCTTGGTGGTTGGGAAAGTGTCAGTTATTGTGCTCTTAGTACCCCTGGAAGGCCCTGATTCGATTATGTCCAATACTTGTTCTTCTGTGCCTGGAACCCGAACATCAATTGTCGTCCACTATCTTGCGGGAACCACTCTCCTCGCCCTTTGTTGGCGTGAGTTCTTTCAGCTTCTGCTATGTTACTGTAGCATTTCCTCTGAACTAATCGCATATCACAAAATTCGTAAAAGGAAATTCAAAGTAAGTCACAGTTTGACAAATTATTGTTATTATTGACAAGGGCTATCCACCTGTAACTATCTGTTAATGACTAAAAACATCATTGCCGCTGTGCCTTTTCATCAAAAAATTGTAGAAGAGAATTTTTTTTATATCAAAATTTTTCGTAATTAGAAGCAAAGATCGTAATTTTTCTTTTTGATTGCTTAAGTATTCCAATAGGCTGCCAATCCAACGTGGGATTTTTTCAAAATAATGCTTAATAACAAAGTTGAAATTCGATCTTCAACTGTTATAATATCTTCTAGAAATTTTCGAAATTTTTTTTTGTTAATATTTTTCTGATACTCCCCAAGGGAGCCTCTATCACCCCTTAGAAGGTATGACGCCAATTTTGAATCACCCTGTATATAAGTTTATTAAAAACATATAAATATAAGAATATGCATATAGGGACATGGAATATATTAAAAACCTAAATAACTAAATGTAAACAAAAGACAAACTACTAAGCTAATAATAAAGTAATCAAAAAAGATCTAGACTAAAGCTAAACTAAACATTAAGAACTTAAACATAAGAATAACTCTAAATTTATTATAAATATTACCTATATACAGGGTGATTAAAAATTGGCGTCATTCCTTTTAAGGGGTGATAGAGGCTCCCTTGAGGAGTACCAGAAAAATTCTGAACATTTTTTGAAAATTTCTAGAAGATATTAACAGTTGAAGATCGAATTTCAACTTTGTTATTAAAAATTATTTTCAAAAAATCCCACGTTGGATTGGCAGCCTATTGGAATACTTAAGCATTCAAAAAAAAAATTACAATCTTTGCTTCAAATTACGAAAAATTTTGATATCAAAAAAGTTATCTTCTACAATTTTTTGATGAAAAGGTACAGCGGCAATGATGTTTTTTGTCATTAACAGATAGTTACAGGTGGATAGCCCTTGTCAATAATAATAATAATTTGTCAAACTGTGACTTACTTTAAATTTCCTTTCACGAATTTGCTGATATGCTATTAGTTCAGGGGAAATGCTACAGTAACATAGCAGAAGCTGAAAGAACTCACGCCAACAAAGGGCGAGGAGAGTGGTTCCGGCAAGATAGTGGACGACAATTGATGTTCGGGTTCCAGGCACAGAGGAACAAGTATTAGACATAATCGAATCAGGGCCTTGCAGGGGTACTCAGAGCACAATAACTGACACTTTCCCAAGCACCAAGTAAATACCGAGGAAAGGCGTTTGTACGATACACACAGCACAAGGAGATGCAAATGGAGCACGAGTTAATTAACTGAATACGATAAGCTGCTTGATAAGAGTGGATAATAAGGAGATTACACACGCACTAGCTTGTTTGGAGTTAACCATTCAAATGTTTGGTGTTGTATGGAGAATTTATGTAAACACAAAACCCCGCAGAATTCGAGGTTATGAGAACAGGTTGACATTTCGTCAACAAATCTCGTTGAATTTACCGTTTATCCTTGTCTATCTTATTGTCAGTCTGTATAATTCAATGGTTACCGGAGTTTTAAGTAATTACGAAGCAACCGGTATTTGCGCAATGTTAATTAGCCAGATTACGTTGAAAAACATTGCTGCCTATTTCTGATATAGTTTTTTGCAAATTTCTCAGTTTTTAATAACAATTAATGCATTTTACTATTTTTTCTGTACTCCTATAACAGCAACAGACAACACCTCCAGAGGAATGACGCCAATTTTGAATCACCCTGTATATTAACAGAAATATTGCAATTTGCATAATTGAGCAATATTAGAAGATTTAAATAAAGGCTTCAGAAAATGAATTGCAACTACAGCCCATAGTTACAAAATTACTGAATAAATAATCAACTTACCATTCAATAAGTCCCAAAACTAAAATTGGAGGAGAGCAGATTTTGTTTGGGATCCTTTAGGCATGTTTGTTGTAGAATATTTCCAAATGAAATGAATGAGTGGCGCTGAAAGCAAAAGCCATACCGAAAATATTATAATCATTGAGAAAACTCATACAGGGTAAAGTAGAAATATAAAATGGTGTATTAAAACCTACCGAATATAACTATATAAATTAATTAGATTAGTCGTCTTAATTAAGATCTTTACCTTTATTATCACACTGATGCTGGCAATAGAGTATAGACTTTGCTTGTTCTTTATCTCTGAAGGCACGTTTAAACCATAGATGAAGATACGTTTAACATAAAAAGATTAAAGTAAAGGTTTAAACAAAAGCATGCACACCACATGCACACTTAAACACATATTAAGGTTAGCTTTTCAACTGTCACTGGTCATCTGTCGATGCTCGGTGTCCAATGATGTCCAAATCATTTTTATGATTTGGATGATTACACTTTTTTTTTTAGTTTTGACTTACCAAAGAGACTGTAATGGTACAACTAATATATTTATATAAAAACACCAATTCTATTTTTTTTTCTTTTAATCAGATTTATTAATTTTTTTTAATTCGACTTCTTTAAGAGTAATGTTTAATTGTAAGCATTTTACTTTTAGAGCATGCTCTGCTTCTTCTCGCTCTCCTTTACGGTCTGCCGCTTTCATTTCTGACGTCATCAATTTAATTTTTAAGGCAGCCACTTGTTCATATTTTGCGGACAGCTGGGTGGTGTGAAGTGTCCTCACAGCACCAGGTCTTCTCCTCTTACACTAACTGACATTTTCTTCGGAGAGCTTGTCGCTTCGAAGTACCTTCGGCACCTGTGTCCTCAAATCCGCTGCAGAATGGTTGCCCCAGTCAATTTGTTTCACCTAAATCAAATTGATCAATAGTAGTATGTTTGATTTTTACTACATTGATTTTAGTATTTTGCTTAGACGAAAAGAATAAAGCAACCGTGTTGATAGCACTACAAAAATAAGTAGATAGCGGGAAATGTACTTACAGGACCTTCTTCCGTTTGAATATCCGCATTCGAAGAAGACGAACTAGTCCCAGCCTGATTTTTCTCGACAAAAAACAAAATGCTGTCCACTCCATCAAAATTTGGCAGTCCACCCATGGTTTTAGCACTTCCAATGTCCTTAATAATTTCATGACAAGGGTCCTGGGAAGGTGTAAATGCTGCACCACCGCCGGTCTGTATTATCGATTTTTTTTCTTGGGACACAACCATTTGGACTTCTTTTTTTATTTTCGTAGCACTTCCGCAACAATTCTTTACTGCGGAAGACTTTACTTGGTGTCGAGTGAAATCGGCAGCGATCTCCAGGCATTGTCTTTTTCTCTCCACGTGCACGAGTCAGTTTTCTTGTTTTCGATTATCCCTTTATAGTCTCGGCATATTTCTAAAAACCGATATTTCTCCTCATTGGTATAATTGGAAGTTCGCATTCTTTTTGGTGATTTAGTATTGTCCGATTCCATAGGGTATTCCATTTAATTTAATTTTTCGCAATGAAAAGACACTACACAAATTCACACGCTTTCAATCGTCTTCAAAAGTAAAGTCCAACGATCGCTTTCTCGCAGACGTTTCTGTCAAAAGCTTTCAAATTAGACAGGTACGAAAATAGGCAGGTAAAAAATCCCCTAAAATTATCAAAAATCTTTGAAAAATATGAGATTTCGAGAACCATCTGGATTACCTGAAGAAATCTATATAAGGGACGACGAGAACCAGACAAGTCAGTAAAGTGACAGCAGCGACAGAGTTCAGAAGAGGTTAAACCCCGCGAGTCGGAAGACCGAGTTTTCCGTTTGTTACTGTTATTGTTTGTAAAGTTGACGTTAATTTAGAAGTTAGTTTGTTCCTGTTCCGTATTTAAAGTGATACCGAGTTGAATAAAAGTTGGAAGCTGAAGAAAGAGTTTGCTACTCGGCCATCCACGGTACAATATATTAGATGTACCATTACAGTCTCTTTGGTTAGTCCAAACTTTTAAAAAAATGTGTAATCATCCAAATCATGAAAACGATTTGCACGATTGTGAATCCGCATTGGCACGCTAAATTCAATTATCTCCAATTCATCTATATCGTTGTCATCGTCCCATATTAATAAATTCATAAAGAACGCCATGATTTACCCTATCAGATATCCGCCGAACAAGAGTGAACCAAAACGTGATTTTAACAGTGTGTTTTTGGTTAGGTATATATTTGTAACTCGCGACGCTTGCGTATAGGGCCCACTTATGGCTAAGCCGAACCGCGAGTACGGCGTAGGCTAAGTGCCACTTAGACTGGTTTAAGTGGCGCTTAAACTGCGGTGCAGTCAACTTAAATTATTAAGTTCCACTTAACTCTTAAGCCGAAGCGGTGCAGTTGGCCCTAAGTGGCATTTAGCTAAGTGACGCTTATGATGAAGATGGTGCAGTTGGCCCTTAAACACCGGGATTTTGGGTGTCCAACGGATGCCGAAATTATTACATCCATATGGTAGCCGAAAAAGGTACCATGGACATTCGCAATTTTTTTTTACAAGTTTTGGATGTCCATTGGATTTCGAATGCTGTCTGGGCTGTAACTATCTGTCAATGACAAAACATTATTGCTACTTTGAATTTTTATCAAAAAATTGTAAAACAAATCTTTTTTAATATAAAAAATTTTCGTACTCGAATGCAGTATTCCAATATGCTACCAATTAACATGTGACAATTTCGAAATAATACTTAATAACAAAGTTGAAATTCGATTTTCAACTGTTAATATTTTCTAGAAATTATCGAAACATTTTTTTCCATATATTTTCTCGTTCTATCCAAGTGAGCCCCTATTACCCCTTAAAAGGAATGACGCCAATTTTAAATCACCCTGTATATTTTCCATGTTGGTTTATTATTTTTTTTCTATTATTTACATTTTCCATTGCGTTCTTTTAGTTATGAAACAATATACCTACTGCAAAGTAAATAATTCTGGATCGAAGCTTATAAGTTGTTGCATTAGGCTGGTAGTAATTTTATGTTATGTCGCTGAAGTTATTGGAAAATCTATTAAAATATCCAACAAAATATTACAAGGAAAACTTATGTGACAGTTGTTCGTCTCCCAAATACAGAAAAATTGGTGAAAATAAAATTTGATTAGCTGTTGTTACCGATCGATCTCTAATTAAAATGTTCTTCCAATAAAACTAAAGCTGAATAACCGATTGAAGTTGTTGAGTGGGTTAGACCAACCTGAACTATCGCATCATCCAGACAAGTGGGTCGTCAATGGTCTCGATAGCAGCAACATTTTCTCATTCCACATTACCTTTAACTCTTGAAATAAACAAGTCAGAAGAACAATTTTAAAGCGAAACAAGAAAGTGGAAGACCAAACTTTAAAAAATGAACTCAAAAGTTTTGAAGAGAGTCTGAATTGTGATCCCCGAGCTAAAGCTACTTTCAGGGAAAAGTAAAATATACCAATAATTTCGCACAACTAGGCAGACCTTAGAATTGCCGTTAACTTTTATTAAAAAAAATTATCTACCGATTTTATCTTAAGAGTCTCAGTCTTTCTAAAGGTCTTTAAAGTGGAAAAAATTTAAAGTGGAAAAAATTATCCCTCCAAGAAGTCACACAAACGAGATTTAAGTCCAGTATTTCATGAAAAACACTTGAACATTGACATTTGACATTGACGCCCTGTGGGGTTTTTGTAGGAAACGCAATATATTTGCGTAAACAATATGTCAGTATGTCAGTGAAATTTGTGTTACATAAGCTGAAACCCGCCCTATATACATATGGCTTTAATTCTTCTGAAAATATTGTTCTACATACATTAAAAAAATACAATTATTTTGCGTCGATATTTCCCTATCTTTAATTAAATTGGTAGGTTTCATAAAAATGGCCTTAAGAAATATTTGCTCATAATGAATATGATCCCCTTAATGAATAATTTAATCTTATAAAAGTTATGGCTAAGAAAAACATGTTTATTTTTATGTGTTTGTTTTATTACAATAAGTAGATTATAATATTTGCCCTACTATTCCTTAAAATTTAATTTAGAACGTGCATTAATATTATTACAAATAAACTGAATTATCACTATAGTATAAGCGAAAACATTCGTAGCAACCATTCCTAAAATATTCAAATTGATAATGAAAAATCCATCAGCGCTGATCATCGGACACCTTGTTTCTGCTTGCTTAACCAGCACGGTTAGTAGATTCTTTATTCCAACTTCCTCATCATTTTGTTGCGCAAGTTTCTGTTGGTGAAGTATTTTGTAACAATAATTGCTGGTAATGTGCCCTTCTGCTGTCAGAGATCCGCCTATATAACCAATCAAAACGGCATGAACCTAAAATAAGTTCAAAATCATAGAAATATGCTTTAAATCTATTGCGCCTTTTTCAAGGCTGTCCGTGAAAAGTGGATGTAGGAGTGCTCAATAACACCGACTAGAAAATAAAGATTGAAAATACTTCACGATGAAGATCTTTAAACAAGAAAGAGAGTAAAAAGTGGATAGACCAAACGATGACCTTAGTCTGTTTCAGTCTATTTCTGGAATTCTAGATTGAATTACTTAGTGAAAGAATCTCTATGAGCCGAGTAACCGAGTGATAGACTTGCTGGCCATAAAATCAGCTCGGTGACAAAAGGATTACTATTTGTAGAATTTGTGATAAGTATATCATACATGTGTGATAGTATGTTCAATTTGAGTATAAACGGTACGAAAGTATTTGCACGGTCTTTTATTGGACAAAAAATTGTTATGTTTGTTATGTATGAAAGTATTTTTACGCCCGGAAAATGCCGCGCCCGGAAAATGAAGGAGAGCCGACACACGTAAGCACATTACCATCGTAACCGGAGATGAAGTCACAATAAAGGCATTAGAATTGTACACAATCAGGTCACAATGTGTGTTAGATTGTGTAAAAGGCCTTAAAACCCTGGCCGGGAGCTCAAACAGAGTAAAACTCACTTGGGCAACTGGTACGAACAGGAACAAAGAAGAAAACGAGATTGCTGCTGAACTTGCTAAGGCAGGGACCGAGAAACCACTGACCAACCAAGAACCTGATTGCGGTATATCTCATGCCCAAGTTAGGGTGGCAGTTGGGCAGTGGATCTTGGAACAACACAGAAAGTACTGGGAGGAGACACCGCGACTCCATACCGCAAAGCAGTTGGTGGGACCTCCACAACCAGTACGTAAAAATGAACTGCTAGGTCTCAGCAGGCAAAAAATAAGGAGGATACAGGCTTTTTAACAGGACACGCCCCCTGCAAAAAGCACTTCTTCAGGATGGGACTGAGTGATCAACCGACCTGCAGGGGTTGCGAATTAGAGGAC